GGTCACCGCTCGGGGGGGGACGGCCAAGAGAGTCGTGATTTGTCGCACCACCGCGCGCGGATCGGCGCGGTGTTTTCTCAACTCGTGTTAACCTGTCGATTGGAGCACCGGACTTCATGTAGACCCCGTCATAGACATTCATGACTATTTTCGGTTCTGAATTGCCTGTTGTCGCCATCTACTACCTGGAACCATCGTCATTTGCGGGCGCGACGTCGCACGCGACGCTCATCAGCGCGGCGAATTACGATTCTCTTGTCACATACCCCCCGCTTGGGCAAGACTGCGCAGTGAGCTGCTATTTCAGAGCTACCGTGAAATTTTTGCGGCTTCAATCTTATCGTGGCGAGCAGCAGGGCTCAGAATAGGCGCTGCGAGGGTGGCAACTGCGAAGTTTCATGCGGATGCGTGCTCATCAGGACCGGGCTGGTTCGAAGTAACACTGCCGCAGGGTATCAAGGCAACTAGATATGAAATATTTTGCCGTTTGTAAGAGATGGTTCTTAGTTTACTCAGCTACATACATTCTGACCAACGATTTTAGGATCACATTATTCCTTTGGGGTATGTGGCAAGAGAATCGTAATTCGCCGCGCCAGTGGGCGTCGCGTGCGACGTCGCGCCCGCTAATGACGACGATTTTAGGTGGTATTGGTCGAGAATAGACAACGCATGACCAAAAGTAGACATAAGTGTCTACCATGTCCTTGTCTACATGAAAGATGCTCCAATCGAAAAGGTAGTGCAAATTGAGGAACGTCGCGCCCATTGCCGCGCGCGACGAAGCGGCAATTTACGATTCTCTTGCCCGTCTCCCATTCCTTTGGCAGTAATTCTGGCAATAACTTAAATGTCACTCACTAAGAAAATTCCTATTGCTCCAATTGCGACCGAAGCCAAGAGAATGCGACCGAATCGTGCTGAAATCGAAATCATTCAGGATCGGAACATTCAAAAATTTCATTAGAACATAGGCGAGCATTGAAAAGCTATTCGAAATGATTCATAGTGTTCGTCATTGGCGAACGTGCCTAGTCTTACATGCAGCTGTCCTCTTTTCTTCGTGTAGTACTTGAAACTGATTTCTTCAATTCTCAGTACTGCACGAAGAAAATTTAACGAAAAGTCCTCAAGCCGATCGGAATCCCATTAGATTACAAAACCTCCGAGTAGGTGGATTTTATGGTACTTTACAACGGACTGAAATTACCACGGAGATCGATATTGATCCTCAGTAGTGAATTAGTTGGAGCTTGTTTCCAAGAAGGTATCAAACTATTCCAAACATGAACGCAATTACTAATTAAAATATTTTTAAATATGAAAAATTAAGTTAACTACTACTTACATTTTCGGGGTTCCGTTTCCATTCCTGCTTTTTGTGGCGAATCACCCCGGCGTGACTGGAATAATTTTTATAGACAAATTTATTTATTTATTTACTGCACGGGCGCTCTCGCAAGAACAAACAGTCTACACAACAGAAATCCGAACGCAAATATCAATACACATGTATGAGCTAATTCTGCAGAGTACTAGTAAGTAATTCAGCAAAAGGGATTTGCGAGAAGGACAAATAACTTGAAAGAATATTGAGTGAATATGATTGACAAGAAAGTAAAGGAGAAACTCGTTTTAATAATTAATAAATGAATTTCAAAAGGGAACAGCTAAGAGGATAAGTGAGGGATGGCATTGTTGCAATTGTTTCGACAGTCGCCTGGTTACGATGAACGCTTCCCGGGTGGCTTTGCCTAGTGTAATAGTGGGTTGTCCTTGGTTAAGCCAGGCTAGATGAGAACGTACTTTAGGTGCACGAAATGGATTTTGTTGGTCTTTTTCGGGCGCAATTTTGTCAGGAAACTGTACATTAACGATTGTTATGAGAAATGAGACAGCTGGCATGAAGAATCAAGCTAATAATTATAAATGTTTATATTTCAAAGTTGTGATGAACTTGATGAGTCATCAATTTTCTGGTGGAACGGGAATTCTTCTACTAGTTTTGATGCCTTGTAGTTATTTTAGGTATGGCTTCATGATCAGGGCACATTGCAGCGTGGGTAATCTCCAGGCAGGGAGGAAGGTGTAATTGGCCCTGGAGGGAGAGCTCGGCCGTTTTTCAGGAAATAGAAGGAGGAATTCCTGGAAAATTCTGGGGAAGAGTCAGGAAGTTGCGAGAATTGAGGAGTACGGTAGGAAGGATGGGGGATCAGAAAGGGGGCTGTACAAGAGCAGGGACTTGCGGGGGTCGTTTCTGCAGAATTTTCCCCCAACGACAGGACGTGCTTTGTTCATAAAGCATCACAAAGGGCCAAGTTTGGCATACCTCTAGCCAAGCGGCAGAATGTATCGCAGGTGCATCGAACATGTTTATTTGGGAAGCAGCTGGTGGCCTCGATGATCTGGGACAGACCAAGTCACAGTATACCGGTGATATGCGGCTTCTCTGACGCTTAGAGACTCAATCGATCCGTTTTAAAGAATTACATCTTGAGAACCTTTCGATGGTTACTTGTAGCACCGTACTTTGATTAAGAGAGTGCACCCTGTGGACACACTTTTATGAAGGCTCAAAATGTGTCAGACCTATTACTAGTAGCGACTGCCTAGTGGGAGGCCAGATTCCTAAGCAGTAGCTGCTGGCAGAAAAACAGTGTCAGGTGGTGATTCCCATGAAAATCGTGCTGGAATGCACGAAGCACCCCATGCCTCTGAATACAGCTAGCACAACTTTGCAAGCAGTAAAACTGTTGAGAAGATTATTGTATGCCATATAAATATATAGAGTATATATAAATATAAAGGACATTAAAGTCCACATGTGCGGCAGAAAGACGGATAATATTTATACACAGGTTTTTTATGGAAGGAGGCAACAATCTTAAGCTATCTATTATTTCTTGATATCATTTGATAGTGGATAGTACGGAAGCCATTGAACCAGTAATGATAGTCAAGGCAGTCACGGAACGATATTGAAGAATAATATATTTTTACTGCAGTGTAGTAGTGAGGAAGTTACTGAGCATCTACCTACTATGCCCTGCCATCACCTCCTGCTGAACTATTGATGTTATTAGAATACTAACTGGTACCAAGGCTGTTATTACTTCATATTGAAATTGAACTATTGATGTTATTAGAATACTAACTGGTACCAAGGCTGTTATTACTTCATATTGAACGATCTTGTGGAATGGAAGGAACACTGCGGCGTAACGTAACGTAGTGGTAGTGGAAATGATTCACATGCCTATCGTGTTTCATGCCGGCGTGGAAGCCTACTGAAAGGAAGGGATGAAATAATGAACAGGGTTGAGCCTGAAGCGCTAGGCAGATAGAGGTACTGAGACAGTACTAAGCCCATGATAGCCTCCTCATCAGTGAGAAGGACGAGCGAAGAGCTTGTGAGCCTACCACGGAATGAGTACGTGGCGATGGCATACCAACGTTTCACGTGGTAAACGGCCCTGCGTATCAGCGCGAGCATTACGCAGCAGATGAGCGCGAGATTTGAAGGGTAAAGCTTGCATTGGATGCATAGCTTTGCAGAGATTTTCCGCGAGAACGTGCTTCTGGACCTTCTTTTATTCGTCGAAGGCTTAAATTAACTCTAAGAGACGAGGAAAACTTAACAGTAACCAGTCTCCCAGGAAAAAAGCAAACGATGGGGTAGTTCCGGATTTTTCACGAAACCACACGGGATTTGGTCTGGATGTGTCCCTTCATAATAAATCAATGTGATTTACAGGGGCGCAAAATTTGAGGGTCAAAACTAATTATGCATAAGATCCAAGCAGCCATGCGGTATTGGAATTAATGCGTTTCACTGTTCGGTAATATGTACATAAAATTATGTCATGTGAGGCATCCCGGGGGTTATAGATAAGTAGGTGGATAGATAGCTAATTGCCGCAGTTCGGCGACGGGTGGGCATTTTGCACGTTCGTTGCTTCACTAGTTTCGATTTACAAGTCTCACTCTGGTGAAACCTGTAAATCTTGGAGCTGGAGCAAGCCATAATGGCATCTTTTAACCCGGGAAGAGGCTGAATGTGTGGACACGTCGATGGAAGTGTCAAATGTGCAAAATGCCCCCCCCCCTGTTGCCGAACTGCACCTAGGTCAATTTTGCAGGCTGGTATTTCACCAAGTAAATAAAAAAAATAAAGTAAGAAGACATGTTTTTTTGGGGATTGTTTGGACTTCTACATTAGATTTTTCCGAATAGGGGACTCTCCAACTTTTGCTGTTGCTGAACGTGTTATTCTGGCTTCGAGCCCAATTATCCTCCCGTTACTAGCGAAGTTCACTTGCCAAAATACCTTCTGCAATTAAACTATGGAAGTAATTAGTAAGGCACCCTCGGTTGGCTGAGATTTACTGAACCATACCATTGAGAGCTAAATAAACCATAACTGGACCGAAGTGGAAATCTGCCGACTCTTAGTCATGAGTGTTCCGGGTAGAAATAAGGGAGGAAACACGGAATTTTCTACAAAATAGGCCCCACTTCGTCCATTATCCAGGGATCATCTGCTTAGCGATTGTGGAGCGGCTTACGCCTCGCTGACGATCGAATCTACAATTTTTTTTTCGTACTTTTGACTGGTCTAATGACAAATATTCGAGGGCCTCACTCTCGAAAAAGGAATGGAGTTGCATCAAACAATACTTGTGAGGGTTTCCAAGGAAAGACACCTGTAGGACTGCCTATCCTCTTCCGCTCCCGTCATAGTTACTCGTCGAAACGTAATGCAGGGCGGGGGGGAGGGAGTGGTAGGAGAGGAATCTTGAGATAGCTGGCCCATTCGGCTATCCTCTTCGGCAGATTTATCGATTCGTGAATATTATCCAAGAAGCCTGAAGGCTTGAGTCCAACACAGAGGTCCAAACTCGCTGACTTGGACCTGACCCAACTAGGTAAAAATTCCCAAAATTTCTCCGGCGAGGGGCGTAGGGAGGTGGGGGGGGGGGGAAGTAGAGCAGCAGCGGGGAGCGGAAAAAAAAACCGTGAAAGGCACTTCTCTAAGGCCGCGTTCATAGCTTGCGACCATGAAGAAATGCAGAAATGAAGAAATGCGGAATCTGCGGAAATGACGAAAAGCATTATATACATATCGATTTGAAGAAATGCAAAATGCGGAAACTGCGTCGTGCGGAAAGTGCAGACAATGACGAAAAGCCAACGATCGATCGAATTTTCGCCTTTCGGCATTTCTGGCATTTCTTCAAATCGGATACGATATCCTGTTGCTTTCTGCCAACTTTTGCACTTTCCGCACTTTCGTCACTTTCGCATTTGCTGCAGACTTCCGGCAACTTCTTCCCTTCCTGGCATTTCTGCATTTCTTCATGGTCGCAAGCTATGAACGCGGCCTAAAACCTGCGACGAAAACGGACGACCCCCTTCTTGAGACGACAAGCAAATACGACCCCCCTCCCTCGCCTCCAACAGATCCACTCCACTATAATGAATAATGCCCGCCCACGGAACAAGAAAAATCAGGGCTATGGAAATTTCCTTCTCGACCAAATACACCCCCCCCCTCCTCCTCCCCTCCCGCTGGGGATTCCCCAGATAGGAGGGGCCTTGCTTTCAAGCAACAGTTAAGAATGACTTTTTATACGGCTCGGACCCGAAACGAGCTTTTCGGCGAAGCTCGAGCGACAAGTCACCTGATGAAGATGAGTGATGTGTGATTGATACGAAATAGCATTGCCTAATGTAGGAAAACTTGATCGGCAAACTTTGAATTATATCAACGAACAAGTTTTCAAATATACACGAACTTTTAGTACGTCCGTTTTTCATACATCATGATTGTGATCGATTTTTTCTATTACGGTTGGAGCTTAATAACAGTAAATCGGCGCCGTTTTTTTCAATTGAAAAATTTGTTCGAAAAGTGAAACGTTTTGCAAGCAAGTTATATATCATCTGATAGGAAACTTCTCGTAGTATAAGAATATCAAAAAAGCTTTGGTTGAGGATATAGTTTTTGTGAATTTTTAGTCGTTGAAGTTGGAAGTGAAGTCGGCGAAAATTAGCATCTTCGACAACTGCCTCTATTTAGAAATTTCATGCTAATAGTTGAATTAATTGAATTTGAATTTGATATTCTAATACTACGAGAAGTTTGCTATTAAACGATATTAAGCTTGCTTGCAAAACTTTTCACTTTTGAACAAATTTTTCAATTGAAAAAACGGCCATTACTTATTAGCCAGCCCACTAGCAGTTATTAGCCAGCCCACTAGCAGTGGGCTGGCTAATAAGTAATGGCCGTTTTTTTCAATCGAAAAATTTGTTTCAAAAGTAAAACGTTTTGCAAGCAAGCTTAATATCGTTTAATAGCAAACTTCTC